TTTGTCTTTGGCTGTATCATGTTCCTTTTCATCTTCTGGTTAGTCCCTAGAGGTTGTAAAACAGGATTTTTCTCCTCACTACAGGGAGTCTTAAGCCTTGCCTGGGCAAGGAACCCTGCTGTCTTCATCAAAGAGTGTTATTGATGGAGAAATTTATAAAGAGGGTGATTAACCATGGGGCTTCAAATTCTGAGGGACAATTGTGATACTTCCTCTTTGCTCAAAATTAGTGTGTTATCTGCAGAACAAGAGTTGAGGTCCAAAGCTGAATGAGGGAGGGGTCTAGCCTTGATAACTTCTAAGTCTATTAATGTCTTAATAGCTACCTGACACTGCATCCCTACTACATTAATGTGTCTGAGGGTACATCTTATTGGCTGGTCTTGTAGAAAAAGCTCTTGCCCTGGGCAATGGATGCTGGGAAAGGAGTACTTGACTGACCACCCTCCAAAATGAACAAAAGGGGCCCAAGGACTGGGTGAGGGGAACGGCAAGGTCCCTTGAGCTGCTTTAGTACTCATCACTTAGGGCTGTGGGCCAGTCCTGGGCTGTACCCACAGCCATCCTGCCCCCACACCCATCCTGTCAGGCTCCCTGGGCAGCACTGGGTATTGCTCTGCCAGCTCTGTACACAATTCCCATCTACAAACTGTAACTGAGGTCCTGGCAGAAACTAGTAATCTTTAGCTGAGAGCCTGAGGAGCTTTTACTAAAAGTGCTTTATGTAAGTTGGGGAGTCACCTAAGCCTGAACTTCATCAGGAAAAGGCCTTTTCTTTCATAGGAAGGCAGGGAGAATTCCTGGAACATGGTAGGCCCTCTTCCTGGCCCCCTAGCTTAAGGTTCCATTTCAGAGTTACCTTTTCGTTTTTGTTTAAAAATCTTTTTGATTGATTTATTCTTATGTGTATGAATGTTCTGCCTGCATGTATGTAAGTGCACTCGTGCATGCAATGCCTGCAGAGGTCAGAAGAGGGCATTGAATACCCTGGAACTGGAGTTATGGTTGTTAGCTGCCATGTGGGTGCTAGTGCTGGGACCTGAACCTCCAGTCCTCTGCAGGAGCAGCCAGCTCTCTTCATTGCTGAGCCATCTCTCCAATCCTTCTTTTTCTTTTTTGAAGCAGGGCCTCTATCCCAGGCTTGCCTTGAACTTGATATGTATTTGAGGATGACATTGAACTTCTGATCCTCGTGTCTCTATCTCCCAGTGCTGGAATTACAGGTGTGCACCAACACACCCAGTTTATGTGGTGCTGGGGATGGAACCCAGAGCTCCCTGAATAATGGGCAAGCACTCTACCAACCTCCCTACACTCCCAACCTCCTCTTTAAAAAATTTTTTTTTTACCTGGGTGTGGTATGCATGCCTTTAATCCTAGCATTCAGGAGGCAGAGGCAGGCAGATCTGTGTGAGATTGAGCCCTGCTTGGTCTACATAGTAAGTTCCAGGCCAGCTGTACCTATAGGAAGACTTGTTTCAAAGAACAAAAGCAAAAGCAAAAAGTTTTAAAAAGGTGTGTGTGTGTGTGTGTGTGTGTGTGTGTGTATGGTGTATGCTCATGTGTGTGTGCATGTTCTAGGGCCTGAAGGCCCACAGGAGGATGTTGGGTGTCCTGTTTATCACTCTCCCCCTTACTCCTTTGAGACAAGGTTTTTCATTGAACCTGGACTCACTGAACCTGGAGCAAGGTTGGCAGCCAGCAAGCCCCAGCAATCCTGTCTCTGCCTCCCACAGTACTCGAGTTACAGTTACTCATGATCAGATTTTTATGTGGGGGTCTAAAAATTTATGCTTGCACAGTAATCACTCATTACCTGAGATATTGCAACCCCACCTTTTTTTGTGGTTCTGGGAATTCTAGGGCCTCATGCGTGCTAGGCAAGTACTCTACCATTGAATATATTCTCAGTCCTTTTTCTCTCTGTTTTTTGTTTGTTTGTTTTTTGAGACAGGGCTCCCCTATAGCCCCAGCTAGCCTGAAACTCACTACATATACCAGGCTGGGCTCGATCTTACATAGATCTTCCTGCCTCTGCCTACCCAAGTGCTGGGATTACCACAACTGGCCCCTCCTTTTCAAAAAAAAAGTATTTTTTATCGGGGCATGGTGGTATACACCTTTAATCCCAGCACTTGGGAGGCAGAGGCAGGTGGATCTCTGTGAGTTCGAGGCCAGCCTGGTCTACATAGTGAGTTCCAGGCCTGAGATTACAGGCCTGTGCCATCATGCCTTGCTCCTGCCCATTTCTGTTTCTATAGATTTGTTAGGGGATGGAAGATGAGGGGACACTGACTGGTATGAGAGGTGGTGAAATCTGTAACACCCACAGGGGCTTCAGAGGTAAAGTAGGGACACACAGCACCACAGTGCTCTTTCCTCTCTCCTGCTTACAAGATGCTCCTGTCTTCTGCTTTACCAAAATCATTGGGAGACAGGAATTGAGTTTATTTACAGTTTTGACCAGAGCTGAGGAAAAAATGGAGAAATCACAGTTTTTCTGTCTTGCCAGTGGCAGCATCACAATCTATAGAAAAGTTTAAATAGAAAGCAGGAAATCTGCATATGTAGATTTAAGTGTGACAGTCAGTTATTAGGATCTTTTCTTGGAAGGTAGGCATTAGAGCTTTAGGGTATTCCTACCCCCATATGGGATTTCTTGGAGAGAGAAAAAAAAAAAACAACAACCAAAAAACTTTTTTTTTTTTTTTTGAGATAGATATTCTGTGTAACTCAGGCTGGCCATGAACTCAACAATGTAGCTGAGGATGACCTCAAACTCTTGATCTTCCAGTCTCCACCTCCTAAGTGTTGGGATTGCAGGTGTGTACCACTACACCCAGCTTCCTGGGGAAATTTTCATTCTTCAGGGTCCCTGTTATGCTGTGATACTCTCATTTCTTGTAAATGGCTGCCTTCTATTGGCCAAGCCTAGTTAAGACCCAGAGGACTGAGGAGGGGAGGCCGCTTGCAGGACAAGAGGGACAAGGGAGCGGTCCCTAAGAAAGGCTGCCAGGTGGGCAGCCATGCACTGTACTCCTCCCTAGTTGTCCTCAGCCCCTCCATCCTGTACCTGTGGTCTGGAATTTTTCCCCCTCTGAGCTGGTCTAACTGGTCAGAAACCTCATATTCTTTATGTATCCTTACATAAGTTTGAGTTCCTTTAATATTGTTGAGATCCACACATTTGGCATGGTAACTTTGGCTTCTGCCTTGAAGAGCCAATTACCCCATTTAACTCAATGGATATGACCATTTCCAGACCTTCAGGCTTAACCCACATATAATGCCTCCCCTATCACCCCTATCACCACCACCATAGGCACCCCCTATCACCACCATCACAGGCACATGCTTGTCAGATGTATGGTTGCAATTTCCAAGTCCACGTACAGCCCCAGCTGGATCTTTGAGGCCCCACATTTAAACCATAGAGGTCTCACATGGGCTGTCTGAGTTCTGAGCAGCTCAGGAGTCTGGGGGAGCACAACGCCCCTTCAGCTCTGACACTGCTCAGACCCCAGGCAGCTGCCACCACAGGAGGGCAAGGCCAGGTGAGTGGTCCCTAGAAGATCTAGGGAACAGCACCCCAGAGACATCTGAGGTAGGTGAGAGGAGGAGGAGGAGGAGAGAGAAATACCCATTGGAGCTTTCCTGGAAATCCAACAGACAAACTGGGTCTGCGGATGATGCAGAATGGACCAAGTCATCCTGGGTGAGACACACAGACACCATGTCTGGGAACAATCTCCGGAGACGCACTCAGGGCCTGGAGCAGAAACCATGGAGGATGGGAGAAGAGGCAGATGTGGAGGGGAGCAGGTGGAGCTCATTCTGTGTGTGTGTGTGTGTGTGTGTGTGTGTGTGTGAGAGAGAGAGAGAGAGAGAGAGAGAGAGAGAGAGAGAGAGAGAGAGAGAGAGATCTGGGCTTTATTCAGCTTTGGAAAGTGGAGGTCAGAAGAAGGCAGGGGTGGGAAGGGGAGGATGTGGCTGTGTGGCTCTGGTCCCTCCTAGAGGGTCCTGCCTTAGGACAGCCATATTCGCAACTCCTCTGCATTTGAGAGCCCTTGTCAGCCCAGTGGTATTGGGGGCTGTTGGAAACCCAGGCCTTCCTCTCCCTATTCTAATCCTTTAGGTTGGATAACTACTGGATTTTCCAGATTGTTCTTCAGAGCTGGAACTTTGTTCACAGCAATGCCCCAAGTCTCAGAAGAGAGCTGTGTGAAAGCACAACGGTTTGTACACACAGGCTCAAGTGGCCCATTAGTGGACACTTCATAGCTTCTGTCTTGACTAGAATGTACCAGTTGTGTCCAGGGTACCCTGGGTAGAACAAGAACACCCAACTTCCCTTTCCTAGCTGTGCTGGCAACCCTGCCCTACACTGAGGGAAGGGGTAGTCAGTTGGACCTCTGCCAGTATATAGCCTATGTGTACCAGGGAGCTGCTAGCGCCTACCCTCAGGGCAGTCCTCTGAGCCAGGGTGAGCCTGCCTAGGCTGGGGCTTGGATCCCCAGAGGGATGGAGATGCCATCCCAGAGTGTTGGGATGCTGCTTTGATTGCCCTCTGAGCCGAGAGGTCCTGGAAGTCTTTCAGAAGGGAGCTGGCATCTCCTGGGTGCTGAGGTGTGCCTTGAGCACCATCCCCTCATTACCTCACCTGGTCCTCAGGTAGATCTCCGGTGTGTGGGTGTGTGAGATCCGTTGGGCCAGAGGAAATCGTAGCTCTCAGAGGCCAAGGCTGGGACCCTCTTCCCAGCTGCATACAGTAGACGCTTTAAGTGTAGGGATTAACCCTGCCACGGGAGACCCTCTCCGGACCCCTAGGTCAGCGGGCATGGGGGGGGTTCCCCCTGAAAGTATTTACTGAGCAGAAAGCAACTTGGGTGTACCGGCCCCGCCTCCCCCGTCTCGGAAACGGGTCCCAAGTTTTCTCAGACCTGGGGCGGGAGAGCCACGGCAGAGGCTGGGAGGGGCGGCCGCTTCGCCTCCCTCCCACCTCTTCCCTGCCCGGGCGGGGGTTCCGGGAACCGGCCGGGGCGGGGCGAGAAGGCGACGGCCGCACGGGTCGTGGAGGCTGCGGCTGCGGGGTTGCCCCGTGCTTGGTCTGTCTGTCCGTCCGTCTGTCCGTCCGTCGGCCATGGCTGCGCCGGCGCCTGCACCGCGGACCCTGTTGCTCCTGCTGCTGCTGCTGCTCCCGCCGCCTCCGGGTGGTGAGCCTGGGGGGAGGGGGAGGTGTGTCCTGTCCAGGGACTGGGTCAGACGTCCCCGCAATGCCCCTGAAACGCACCAGACGCCACCGGCCCTAGAGTGCTTCATCTCAACCCTGATAACCCCGAGGGAGGTTGCGAACCGCTCCACTGACCTCCCCTCCACCCCAGCACCCCTTCCTTCCTGAGCTGATACCGCCCAGGGCAGCTGCCACCTTTGTTCTGTGTCCTGCATGGTGGCGAGGCCCCAGATGTTCCAGGGGATTGAGTCCCCAAGAGGATGGGGTAGGATTGCACGCAAGGGGTTAGCTCCAGGTGGGCTCTCGAGGAGCCCTGGCCCCTCAGGTAGAGGCCGTACTTCTCAGCCTGCTTGCTGGCTGGGAGACCCACCACATCCGCAGCTTCTCAGGCCTTGGGTTCTGGGGAGGCCTGGCCATGAGGCTGGTCTCCGGGTGCGGAGGAAACAGCTCTCCTAAGTCATCCTAGACGGATGACTCACAGACTTGGGAGGACAGACAGGGGGCCTAACGGGGTGAATTGGAACAGCCCCTTGTCCAGCCACAGGAAGCTAATCACTCTTGTTTGGATAGTTGGTTTCTGGAGGAAAAGAGCTGTGTTTCCTTGGGGGCTGGCATGAATCTGGAGGACCTAGGATGGGGAAGCAGGGAACCCTGCACCCAGAGTCAGCCCACCCCTGGAGTGTCCTGTTCCTAGTCTGGTGAGGTCTGGAGAGCCTTGGGCTGTGTCTGTTCAGAAGAGCGTCAGTGTCTGAGCTGCTGCAGCTGGACCACCCTTAGGGGTCTCACTTTCAGATGGTCAGCTGGCTGAGCTGGGCCTGTCAATGGTCAGATTCTCCACTTCATGGTTTTGCCCAGAGCAAGGTTCTGCTTGGCACTACCAAAAACAAAGTGCAACCCTTTTTACCCCAGAGTTACTTTTCTCAAGGTCACTCAGTGTCTCTGTCCTTGGGCCTGTTCTGACAGCCCTAGGGTGCAGGATTGTATTGATCAGCCTGGGCCCAGATGTTGCACCTGGCCTGGGGGCCTGGTCAGGCTGGGGTTCCAGGGTTTACATGTTGGGCCAGGATGGTTTCTAGACTGACACCTCAGGGATTGTCCTCAGACCTCTAGTCAGGTGGGCCTTGCTGGACTGAGTATTCCACTCGGGACTCTCCTGGTGTGAGCGCCAGGTCTGCTAGTGTAGCCTAAGGATACATGGGGACATGGGTGTGGCATCTTCCCAGAAGGTTGTAAAGCTTGTGGGCACCCAAGACCCTATGCCCTTCTCCATATCTCTCAGCATGACCTTGTATATTGAGGCTTGCTACTTGCTCTTTGGCTGATGGACTTATGATGACCCTTGACTGATAGACTTAAGATGGCCTCAGGGCCTCCTATGGTACCCTGGAGACTACAACCATTTCCTAGTAGCTGCTCTAGGCCTTGTATTTGGGTACTTATGGACATTTGTGTAGTGAGGGTCACTGTGAATTGATTATGAATCAGCCTGCTGTAGAGGGTGTTCTATGAGGGCCAGGCCCTTGAGTGTGTGCCCAGCAGGTGAGGCTACTGTGGCTGAGTGATGGGAATGAGGATTAAATATTGGATGGTACACTGCCTGGTGCCTACAGGTGCTCAGGTGTGTTACTGTTCAGCTATGTACTTGCTGGATTTGGCAGCTTCTTGGAGGTGGCTGAGAATAAGGCCTTTAAGGATGAGTGGAATTGCAGGTATGGGGAACAGGCAAGAATGGTGTAGAGTGTGGCAAGACTGGAAAAGTTGGAGTCATCTTTAAGGCCCTTTGCGATTGATGCTTTGGGGTCTCGGGGCCTGATCTTGAAGCAGTGGGAAGTAGGGCTTCTGAGAGCAGAAAGTGATCCAGTCAGACTCGCACTTAGAAAAGTTACTCTCTTACCAGAAAACCAATAACCTAGCAGGGGAGGAAGGCAGCCTTTTAGAGCACCTTGCTATGACCTAGAGAAGGGCAAGGCTGGGTGGGAGAGATGGCCAGTGACTGGATGATCTAAAGCATGCTTATGCTTGGGGGCTGCACTGGGGAAATCACTGCCATTGGCTGGGGTTTGGATGAAACTTGGTCCCATGGGCCACAGGGAAACAGGATTGTTTCTCTGTTCCAGCCCTTGGCGAGATATGTAGGCCTTTAGGTGGAGACAACTTTCCAGAGTACTGTCCTGATTTCTGCTGTGGTTCCTGTTCCAACCAATATTGCTGCTCTGATGTGCTGAAGAAAGTCCCGTGGAATGAAGACATATGTGCTGAGGAGGCCAGGTAGGTGTGTGGAGGGAGAGGGTGTATGTCCCAGGGTGGGGAGCCTAAAGCTGTGCCCAAGAGTATACCCTGCCCCTCTGGCCTCTCATGATAGTGACCAAACATTGAACCAGTTTGTTGGGTCCCTTTTCAGGGCAGGACTTCTCAGAGCTGCTTGGTCCCTTTTCCTGCCCCCCATCACCCTGAAGTATTCTCACTCATTCAGCCTCGGGTTGGGGTCAGTGGCCTCAGCTGGCTTTGGACTAGAGTGTGTAATTGTACCTATAGGTCCTCGAGGGTGAAAACCTGGTTGTGAGAGTACTCCACATTGTGTGTATGTGTATGTTCCGCAGGGCACAGGGCGTGGGTATGTGCCCAGGGTGACCTGGTTGTATCTTAGTGCTGCCCAAGCATTTACAGTTCATCTCTGGTATAGACTGAGTCATGGGCTAGGACCAAGGTGTGTCTCTTGTTGTCAGATTCTGTGTTTCTGTCATAGTGCTTGGTTGTAGATAAAGAGAGTTGTAGTGGTCATGCTTAGCTCACAGCAGGTTATGTTCATGGATATTATCACTGGTCTGGAGAAGACCAGACCCTGTCCTCTTATGTTCACTTAAATCTCCCATCCATGACTGTTCCATTCCCCTCCCATCCCTTGGGCATCCAGTCTTTTGTGCTTGAGGTGTGCTCCCTTGTGTTCTTACAAAGTCTGTATTTTTTTTAAATTTAATGTTTTAATTACATGTATGTGTATGTGTCCATGTGTGAGCATGTGCACATGAGTGCAGGTGCCTGTGGGGACCAGAGGCATTGAATCTCCTGGAACTGTAGCTACAGGCAATTATGAACTGTCTTATATGGGTGCTGGGAATTGAACTTGGGTCTGCTGCAAGAGCAGTACATGCGCTTTACTGCTGAGCCATCTCTCCAGCTTCTGTATTGTTTTGTGGTACATTTTTTCCCTTTGTTCCAACGAATGCCCTTTTTGCACTCAGTGCAATGTCCATAAGACCTGTCATTACAGCTGTGTCTGTGGTGTGAGTCCAAAATTGTTAGCATCATAGATGATTGCAGTGGACATCCTTGTATACTTCTTCCTTCTGTAAGAAGCTGTAAAAATTTCTTGGAAATAAATATATGTGGGAGTGGAAATGTATGTGGGTCAGAGAGATGCTGCATAGTCACCAAGAAAGTCCGTGTTCTTGAGGGTGGCTGCATGCTTCTCAGCCAAGCTTGAGGGTTTTTAACATCACATTCTAGGCTCTTGCTTTCATTCTTTGGGTGTTCTTTTGTTTTGTTTTGTTTTGGGGTCTTTTTGAGGCAGAGTCTCCCTGTAGCCCCAGCTGACCTGGAACTTGCTATGTAGAGCAGGCTGGCCTTGAACTTACAGAGATCTGCCTGCCTCTGCCTCCCAAGTGCTGGGACTAAAGGAGTGCACCACCAAACCCAGCTTTGGGGTTTTTTTATTTTTGAGATTTTTTTTTTTTTTTAGACAGGGGCTCCCTGTCGCCCCCGCTGTCCTGGAACTCACTCTGTAGACCAGGCTGGCCTTGAACTCACAAAGGTCTGCCTGCCTCTGCCTCCCAAGTGCTGGGACTAAAGGAGGGCACCACCAAACCCAGCTTTGGGGTTTTTTTATTTTTGAGATTTTTTTTTTTTTTTTGAGACAGTCTTGCTACATAGTTCCTGCTGGCCTGACACTTGCTGTGTTGACCAGGGTGGTCCAGAAGCTGCAGTGATCCTCTTACCTGTGCCTCCAAAGGGTGGGTATTACAAGTGTGCACCACCATGCCTAATTTTCCACTGAGGTTTTTTTTTTTTAATATATATACAGTTATGTTGCACATAGTATAATATGTACACAATAAATGTACTGCCTAGTGAGCCATCAGTGGACCAAGAGAAGAACCTTTAGCACAGTTCAGAAGGCCCCTTGATTCCACCCACTCTCATTTACTGTTTCTCTAACCCCTTAAAAGGTAACTATTATCCTAACTTAAATTTTTTTTTTTTTTTTTTTTTTTTTTTTTTTTTTTTTTTATGGAATTCATAGAGATCTACCTGCCTCTGCCTCCTGAGTGCTGGGATTAAAGGCATGCGCCACCACACCCAGCTAGCCTCCCGATTTTTTTTTAAATTTATTTTTATTTTACGTGTATGAGTGTTTTGCCTGCATATATGTAAGTGCACTACATGTGTGTAATAACCATGGAAGCCTTTCAGCTTTCAGGATGTGGGATCCCCTGGAACTGAAGTTGCAGGCAGTTGTTAGCTACACTGTGAGTTTTTAGCCACTCTGTGGGTGCTGTGAACTAAACCTAGGTCCTCTGAAAGAGCAGGCAGTGCTCAAAACAGCTGAGCCATCTTTTTAGCCCCAGTATTACCCTAACTTTTATATTTTCTTTTCTTTAAGTTGTAATAGCCAAGAATGCATTCCTAAATTCTATACTTTAGTTTTGTGGGTTTTTTTCCTGTGGGGAGGGCATATGCGGTCTTTGAAAAAACTTTCCTTTTTGTTGGGGTATGTGCTGGGGATTAAACAAGGGTCTCTTGCATGCTAAGTACATGTTCTACCAGCGAATTATGTCCATAGAATATATATCTGAATATACAGGTTCAATGAATTATCACAAACTACGCACACCTGTGCAACCATCACCTATTAAGGCCCTCTCATGATCTTTTCTTTTTTTTTTTTAAATATGCACCAGTGTATCATCTGCATGTATGTAAGTGCACCCGTGTTGTGCAATGCCATGTTTATTTTTTTATTTTATGTGTATGAATGTATTGCCTGCATGTAGGTAGGTGCACCCATGTCATGCAATGCCCACGGAGGTCAGAAGAAAGTGTCAGATTCCCCTGGAACTGGAGTTACAGATGGTTGTTAGCTACCATGTGGGTGTTGGGAACTGAACCCATATCTTCTGCAAGGGCAGTTAGTGCTCTTAACCCCTGAGCCATCTCTTCAGCCTCTTGTTTCCTTTTTTTTTTTTTTTTTGGTCTTTTGAGACTCCTTGTAGCCCCTGCTGTCCTAGAACTCACTATGTACACCAGGCTGGCCTTGAACTCACAGAGATCCTCCTGCCTCTACCTCCCAAGTGCTGGGATTAAAGGTGTGCACCACCATGCCCGCTTTTTATCTCTTATGAATAATGCTGCTCTGAACATTCTTGTGCATGTCTTTTGACACACATGTGGTATGTACTTTTTAAAATTGCTATTTAAGGCTGGGCGTGGTCACACATGATGTACTTTATTTTTTTATTTTTATTTTTTATTTTTTTTTGTCTTTTTTGAAGCAGGGTCTCCCTGTAGCCCCAGCTGTCCTGGAACTCACTATGTAGACCAAGCTGGCCTTGAACTCACAGAGATCCGCCTGCCTCTGCCTCCCAAGTGCTGGGACTAACATGATGTACTTTATGTTCTTCCTGTTATTCTCTTACCTTCTTCCCTCTCTCACTGAACTCCTCCTTTCCAACACAACTCTCCTCTATTTTCATGTCTTCTTTTTTCATTGCCCCTTGCATTTAGCAGAGTTGCCTAAATGGGGGGGGGGGCTTAAGTGCTTGAGCAAGTGCCTGCACCACTGAGGAACACAACTCTCCCTCCCCCAGTAACCATTAACTGTCTACAGCTAATGGTTGGGTGGGATCTTTCTTTGAACTCCCTCCCCCTACCACAAAGGGATTGATGGAACCAGTCTTAGGGAGTAAAGGACATTTGTTAGCCACTGTGTGGGAGCTGGGAACTAAACCTGGGTCCTCCACAAGAGCAGCCAGTGCTCTTAACCATGGGCCATCTCTTTAGCCCCACATTTTCTTTTTTTAAAAAAATATTAAATTATTTTTATTTTATGTATATGAGTGTATTACCTGCATGTATGTAAGTGTACCCATGTCGTGCAGTACCTATGGAGGTCAGAAGAGGGCATCGGATCCCCTGGAACTAGAGTGATGGATGGTTGTTAGACACCATGTGGGTAGTGAGAATTGAACCTGGGTCCTCTGCAAGAGCAACTAGTGCTCTTAACTGCTAAGCCATCTCTATAGCCCCACATTTTACTTTTTAAAAAGATTTTTATGTGTATATATACACGTGTGTGTGTCCACATGTTTGTGTGTGCCTGTGGAGGCCAGAAGAGGGCATTAGATCCCTTGGAGTTAGAGTTGTAAACCACCTAATATAGGTACTGGGAACCGAACTCTGGTCCTGGGTATGTGCAGCAGGTGCTCTTAACCACTGAACCACCTCCCCAGTCTCAAAATACAGTTCTTTTTTAAAAATTTTTTATTTTATGTGTATGAGTGTATTGCCTGCATGAATGTGAGTGCACCCGTGTCATGCAATGATGTGGAGGTCAGAAGAGGGCTTTGGATTCCCCTAGAACTGGAGTTAAGGATGGTTTATAGCTGCTATGTGGGTGCTGGGAATCGAACCCAGGTCCTCTGCAAGAGCAGTCAGTGCTCTTAACCATTGAGCCATCTCTCCAGCCCGAGTTCTTTTAAATATGTGTATGTAATTAGGAATAAAATTTTTTTTTTCTAATATAGATATCTCTCGACCTAGAGCTTGAACAAAGTTGTTTTTTCTTTCTGAAGTGCCAACTTTGTCATCAGTTTTGTGTCCACATATGCATGAATATGTCTCTAGGCTCTATTCTGTTGCATTGGTCTGTTTGTCTATCCTTGAACTAGTAACAGTCTTATAATAGTATAATTTTACTTATTTGTTATTTTATTTGTTTTTGATTTTATACATGTGTTTTTCCTGCATGCATGTAAGTGCACTGTGTGTGTAATACCCTTGAAGGTCGGAAGAGGGCATTGGATCCCTTGGAGCTGGAGTTGTGGACTGTTGTTACCTGCCATATGGGTACTGGGAACTGAACCCGAGTTTTCTGCAAGAGCAGTAAGCACTTTTAATCACTGAGCCATCTCTCCAGCCCTTAAATATTTTATTATTTTTAATTTCATGTGTATACGTATGTGTGTCTGATTATATGCTGTGTGTGCGAGGGT